TTCCTAGAATTGTAAGAGTAATTACCTACAGTTTCGAAGGCAGTTATCAATATTTGAGAGGAATTGCTTAATTATTTGGGTTCATATCCTGAGATGCAGCAATAAATTATATTGCTTGATCATGCAACCCAAGCAAAACTACACATTGTTATTTCTAAGAAAGGATAAAACTACTGTGAGATTTCTAGCTGTAAATTTAAAAGTTAGGGGACCTTGAAATCTATTTAAAAAATGACTTCAATGTTCAATTTTGACCGATCAGTCTCGCGACCTCGATTTTATCAGTACTATTAATGAGTTTTTTTCTTAGCATCGTAAGAAAGTGCACGGGATATTTAGAATAAGATAGAACATTGGAATAATTCTATCCTATTCATCCAATAAGCATGGTTTAGAGTTCAAAAAATAGGCAGGAAATATACGAGCTGATAATTACCACCAGTATTTAAATATAATAAAAACTTTTAATAAGATGATAAGATAACTTTGATAAGATAAGATAACTTTTATACGATATAAGAACAAGATATCTATGAGTCCTTTCAATGAATTAAAATCAACTGATATTGTGCTATGTGGGCTATTCATGATTGATGAAAAAATACAAATCCTCTATGAGTCATCCTGATTATTCCATGTTTTAATGCCCTCAATTTATGACTGATAAAGAACTGCAAATATCGATATATTAGCACAATGCCCAGCTACAGTAACAACAAGCGCAGGAAATTAGGATTATTGGACGTTTCGAGTGCTCGCTGGGAGAGTTTTAAGGAGCAGCTGTAGGCCGGCGGAGGCTCGACCCGCCGAACGCAAATACCAAAAACTGGCGGTCGTGACGAAGCGAAATGTGATCAGCGGCTAGTGGCCGTCGCATGAACAGAGATCAGCTGTTGTGGTAAATAATCCTGCGCTCAGATAATGTAAGTAAGCCTGCGCTCAGATGATGTAAGTAATCCTGCGCGAAGGAGCGGCGGAGATAAAGTAATCCTGCGTGATGTGGAGGCGGAGATAAAGTAATCCTGCGTGATGTGGAGGCGGAGATAAAGTAATCCTGCGTGATGTGGAGGCGGAGATAAAGTAATCCTGCGTGATGTGGAGGCGGAGATAAAGTAATCCTGCGTGATGTGGAGGCGGAGATAAAGTAATCCTGCGTGATGTGGAGGCGGAGATAAAGTAATCCTGCGCGATGTGGCGGCGGAGATAAAGTAATCCTGCGTGATGTGGAGGCGGAGATAAAGTAATCCTGCGCGATGTGGCGGCGGAGATAAAGTAAGTAATCC